CTCTTTTGTATATGATGGATGTTCTATTTTTGCTCAGCTCCAGACTCCGTGGGTTTTTTGTGGCTCCTCAGACCAACAATTACACCTTCTGGATTCAGGCAGATGGTGAAGCATCTCTCTACTTTAGTTTGTCCCAAGATCCCAAACAGAAGGTATTATTATTGGTAGAGAAAAATGAGAGAAATTAAAATGAAAAATGAGGATGGAAAGGCTTTTAATTAAGGTGATAACAAGGGGGAATTCCCCCAGTGTGGACTGGTTTGTTGTCTCTTATGAATCTTTTGCAGAGTCAAAACTGTGGGATTATTTTTCATATTGTACATCAGCCCTGTCCATTATATAGCTCATTTAAAAAATCACTCTTGCAACCAGAGTAATTGATTATCTTTTCCAGAAGATTTTTTTTTTGTTGGTTGTCTGTCTGAACAGATGCCATCCATGAAAAGTTATTTGGGGAACTATTAATAATGCTAGAGTAAGCCATAGGACTTACCTTCTTTATGGAATTGAACTTTAAACCATAGTTTTTTGAGATTTTGGCTTTTTGTTATATAATAGGAAGGAATTTGTGAGCCATCAACACACAGATATCAGTTATAAATACAAATCATTTGTTTGTTTGGTTGGTTTTTCTTGAGCTGAGTCTTTGGACTAAATGTTATTTGGGGCTGGAGAAAAGTCCCTAACTAGTTTAATGGCTTCAAACTGAAAGAGAGTTGGTTTATATTGGATATGAGGAAGACATTCTTCCCTGAGAGAGTGGTGAGGCTCTGGCACAGGGTGCCCAGAGAAGCTGTGGCTGTCCCTGGATCCCTGGAAGTGTCCAAGGCCAGGTTGGACAGGGCTTGGAGCAACCTGGGATAGTGGAAGGTGTCCCTGCCCATAGAAGGGGGTGGAATGAGATGATTTTTGTTGCTCCTTCCAGCCTGAAGCATTCTGTGATTCTGTAATTTGGTTGTTCTGCACGCAGGTGAGAATTGCTTCTCTCCCTGCTGGCAATTCAGAGTGGTCTGAGAACTGGGTGAAGAACTGGAGTGAACTTTGGCAGCCAAAATCCCAGAAATTTGAGCTAACTGCTGGCTCAAGATACTACCTGGAAGCACTGCATCACGCAAAGACACCCAGCAAGGGGATGAGAGTTGGAGTCCAGATGCACAACTCGTGGCTGGACCCCCGTGTGGTGAACAGCTACTACACTGAGAGGCACGAAATTCGGGCTCGCGCCCTGCATCTCCCAGAAGTGCAGGTCAGTGCTGCTGGAGCTGCCCTGTTGGTGCCAGGTGTAAAAAAATGTGTGTTTCCACCTTGTTTACAAACTCCTGAGGTAGCTGATGAGAAGAGCATAGTGAGCTGAAGTTGTCTGTGGTTTTTATATACATTAGTGGGTGTGTGTTAACACTCAGGAATGAGGGAAGTTTTTTCCTAATTGTTAAATTCCTGCAGGTCAGGAGCTTTAAGGACCATCTGCAGCTGCACAGGTCATGCATCCCCTGTTCTCCTGTTAATGAAAGAATCCTGCTCCTTGTAGGACCAGGGCAGTTTAAGAGTAGCTGAAGTGGCTCTAGGAAGGGATCACAGAGGCTATAAAAGGCAAAGTGCTAGCTGTAAAATCCTCCTCAGTAGAAGATGGCAGGTTTGAAGAGTGTGTGTCTCATGCAGCTTACATCTGTTTTCATTTCTTGATTTGCTTCTTTTTTTTTTCCCAGATGTTGACTGTGTCTGGTACAGGTTATTTCAGTATCTCCTGGAACAACACACTGAGAATGATCCCCACAAATGCTACAGCTCGCCAGGTAGGTGCCATTAAACACAGACACAGGGTCCTCTGCTGGTAATTGGTGGAGATCTGGTGCTTGACAGAAGTTAAGATTTGGCCCTGAAGCTGAGATAAAGTTTATGTGATATAGAGGTGATTTTTTGTTTCTTTTTTTGGTGGGTTTTTTGTTTGTTTGTTTTGGGTTTTGTTTTTGCTGTTTTTGTTTTTACTGAGAATGTCATAGACTGGGATTTTTTTCTTGAGCATTGACTCCCAGGTGTATTCTAAGCTTATCACAACATCCTCATATTTTGGGCTTTCATTGATCCAGATCCTTGGACTTCTTCTCTAAGGCCAGATGAGCTCTGGCTCTTGTATGGCTCTGGCTTCTTCAACAGCCCACAGACTCTTGATGTGGCTCTTGATGTCTTGATTGTTAATTTGTCAACATTAAAGTGATCCTGAGTGATGGCTCCATGACAATCATTAGACTGAGGATGTCTCAGACCCCTGAAAACTTTTATGTAAACATAGACGTTTACACTCTGTTGAGACAAATTTTGTTATATTATCATTTAACATATTTATTATTTTAATATTTGGCTACTTGCTTGTTCAGAGCTGCTGTGCCACTGATCCCTGGCTGATAAAAAATGAAGTGATGATGTGTGTGTTGAAGTCTCTGCTGAAATGATTGTAACTGACTGCTTTCCACTTTCTTAATTTCTTTTAAAGGTGCAAGCAGCAATAGAAGAACTCCTTTCAGTAGGATGTGAAACTGAACCAACTTCTGCTAAAATCCTTTTTCACTGTGGTTTTGAGAAAGAAGGTAGGTAACTTCTGTGGCACATAAGCAGTATTTATTGTGAGATTGATCTGCTCTTATGGCATAAATATTCTTTAAGCTTTCATTGGTAGGAAATTTACACTTTTTATAGGTATAAGTACATATTCATGTTTATCATCTATTCGTTGTGTGTATGCATTAAAAACAACATGATCAATATAATAATAATCACAGTGATAGAACATCCAGGGTTGGAAGGATCCCACAAGAATCACCAAATCCAACTTCTGGGCCTGTACAAGACAGCCCCAGGAACCTGTTCCTGAGAGTATTGTACAAACACTTATTGAACTCTGGCAGGAGAATTCTCAGAGTAGGACTGTTTGACAATTTCTGGATACCCACTTGTTGTATATTCACGAATCTTGACTGTACTGGTGTCTTCTGAATCACTTTGAAACCTCTCATTTCCTCCTCTTTTTTTTTTCTTT